GGAGGGCGGGATATAAATAACAATTTATTATTGTTATTATTATTCTCAGCAGTGATGTTCTCCCATCAGATATCAAGGAGGTAAAGAGCAACTTTTAGAAGACATCTGAAGGCAGCCCTTTATCGGGATATTTTTAATGTTTGATGTTTTGTTACCGTATTGGCCCAAAAATAACCCGCACCCGAATATAAGCCGCAGCTTTAAAATTTGGGGGGGGGGAGACAATACCCGAATATAAGCCGCTCCCTTAAAATTCCGCAGTCACCCACACCCATTCCGTTTTACCATATGTCTGTTTCAGCAGTGATATCGTAAAAGCCAATTTTTGTAAGGCTGTGAATTTAAGCCGCACTTTAACTTTCCATGGTCGGAATTTGGGGAAAAAGTGAGGCCTATATTCTGGCCAATATGATTTGTTCTTATTTGTGATGGAAGCTGCCCAGTGTGGGTGGGACAACCCAGCCAGATGGGCAGGATAAGAATGATGATGATGATGATGATGAAGAAGAAGAAGAATAAGTGGCCAGAAGCAACAGCGTCTTAAAAAGCGACACACACATTTAAAATGCCACCTTTTGTGAGGGCACCAGTAGGTTTCCTGTCCTGTTCTCCCCATGGTGCTTTCTATTAAAGCAGCAGGGGCTGGGACTTCTCCACTAGCTGCCACCATGTCTTCCTAGGTGCCAATTAAAACACAGGTGGGGACTGGGGGTTCATGTAGGGAGAAGATGTCTCTGCCTTCGTCACCGGAAGTGATATTAAAACTGTTATGTACTGAGTTGAATTGGATCCAAAATGCAGCAGTCTGATTGGTCCTAGAACAATGGGATCCAAAATGCAGCAGTCTGATTGGTCCTAGAACAATGCAGCAGTCTGATTGGTCCTAGAACAATGGGATCCAAAATGCAGCAGTCTGATTGGTCCTAGAACAATGCAGCAGTATGATTGGTTTGCAGGAGCCACCCAATCCAGCTCCAGATGGACGTGAATCCACAACCTGATTGGCCTACAGGAGAATTCCGGAATTAGCCAATCACATGCAGCCCATTGTGTAAATAATGTATATAAAGCAGATACTTTGGGGGGGACTTCCATTCCTCCTCACCTCTATGAGCTGAATAAAGAGCATGAAATCCACTCTCGACTCCGAGTATATTTCAAAAACATTACAGAAAGGTCCTGCCACAGACACTCTGCTAAGATAATAAGATCTCAGCAGATAGGCAGTGACTTCAAGCTTGCAGCCCTTCTGAGATTCCCAGCCAATCTCAGCTGATCCCAGTGGAAAGTGAAGCCTGAAGTTGGTGCTGATCAAGCTTTAAAGCAGGGGTCAGCAAACTTTTTTTAGCAGAGGGCCAGTCCACTGTCCCTCAGACCTTGTGGGGGGCCAGACTATATTTTGGAAAAGCAAAAGAAAGAAAGAATTCCTATGCCCCACAAATAACCCAGAGATGCATTTTAAATAAAAGCACACATTCTACTCATGTAAAAACACGCTGATTCCTGGACCATCCGCAGGCCGGATTTAGAAGGTGATTGGGCCAGATCCGGTCCCCGGGCCTTAGTTTGCCTACCCATGATTTGAAGCCTGGATAAGCTCAGGTGGTTAGAGCATGGTGCCGATAATACCATGGCTGCAGTTTCAATCCCTGTATGGGACTGCTGCATATTCCTGCCATGCAGGGGCTTGGCTTAGATTATCCTCAGGGTCCCATCCAGGTCTACAATTTGAGGATTCTTTTTTTTAATTAAATTTGATTAAAGGTTACAAAAAAATAAAACAAAATAAAATAAATAGAAACAATACATAACCGTACATAAAAACATTTATCTATACATATTTCCAGAATGCAGACTAGAAAAGAAGAAAGATGAAAAATAAAAGAAAGAAGCAAAAAAAAACATGAAGAAAAAAATACTTTTCATAATCAATAATTCCAAATTCTTACTTCAAACATTTCAATATATAAATCCTAGTTAAAATATTATAAAAAACTTCCACCACATTCACCACACGCCCATCTTGGTTATCTCCGCCCGCCATTGCCCGAGACAAGATGGCGGCCGGGACGCTTCCGGCTGCTGAGGCAAACGCCAAGAGGGCAAAAAACAAAACAAACACACAAACAAACAAACAAACAAACAAACAAACAAAAACCTCTTGGTTATCTAATTCACCTCACAATTTGAGGATTCTATGTCTGAGCAGTAGCTTCAAGGCCTGCTGAGCTGTACTAGGATTTTCCATTCTAGCACAGCCCACCACACTGGAAAGGAAAAATGAGTCACCTGATATCATAGCGTTATCAGGTGTCTATAATGTCCCTGCTTGCTCACCTGTCTTCTGAACTATATAACCCTGCCCTGCACAGTTCTCAATGAAATGTGCATTCCCATGTACACTTGGATGAACACCCGGAGACATCCTGGTGGAAAAAAGTCACATATTTATTTGAAGGCTCAACCAGACCGAGTAGGTGTTGGCCTTTGTTTGAAAAGTTTGTACTGAATATTAAGATTATTATTATTTATTTTCATCTTGCCTCTCCTTCCAGAAGGAGCCCAGAGTGGCCATTTAAACAATGAATTAATACAATTTAAAAATCATGACAGGTAACCATCTCAAACATGTCAGAAATGATGACAGTTCGAGATGCAGGTTTGAGTTGTCTTTTAGCCCAAGCAACCTGGGTTCAAAAACAGTCCTGGCAAAAAACGAGGACCTTGGTGTTGGAACTTTCTACACAATTCAACAGATTTGTACTTGTAAACCTGCATGTGTAGCTCTAGTATTACATTGCATAGTATTGGTTTCATCATGAATAAATAATAAATAATAATAATAATGTGGACATCTATTTCACAGCAAGAACTTGCAGAAATGTAAAGCAACTTGGGAAATAAGAACACAGTTTTTAACCGTCTCTGGCGCTTAAGTTTGGACTTGTAGATTGCAAATCTTAATTTACATTAAAACATCGCCTGTATGGAGTGAGGTTGAGCCATATTCTACATTCTCTCCACAGAAACACCTGGGGTGACCCAGTGCACTAGTGGAAGCCACTACAAGAACTCTCACTGGCGCAATGGATTTCAGTGTTTCAGTGTTTGATCTAGGGAAGGGTTTGTACCAACACCTGACCAATGAGGAATTTGTCAGCAAATGGCAGAAAACCATGGCTAAAAAAGCCACCTCTATTGATTTGTCATCCCCCCCCACAACTGTATTACCTGGGTTATGAAGGCACCCTAAAGACGTTAAAGCAAAGATTATGGGATAATGCACACAGTGACTTGCGATCTCAATCACACACAGTCTGTAGTCCGCTGGCAGTAGGAGTACAATATGGGCATGTCTTTAAGTTAACATCTTACATTAAAAACCTGACAGTACCAAACTACCAAAGGCTTTTCACCAAAGCCAGACTAAACGTCTTTCCCTCTGCAGTGTTGGATGGCAGGTTGAGAGGAGTTCCCTACCAGGACAGACTTTGCTCGTGTGCTCAAGACATCAATTCCATAAAACATATTTTGTTGCACTGTGCAAAATATGAGCAAGCCAGGGCTGAACTGATATTACCCTTGCTGGTACCTTTCCCGGGAAAATCAGAGGCTCACTATGTCAGGTTCCTACTGGAAGACCGGACAAACGCTAGAACATCGGCAGTGGCAAAGTTTTTATCGGTGGTTGCAAGAACCAATGATCCCCATATCCGGAACAAAATGCTTATTTAACCTGGAGGTAGGCTGTATGAATTGTATATTGCTTTGTAATGATTTGTTGGGTCTCTGGACCGTAATAAAGATTGATGATGAATATATTGATGTTGCTAAATCTGAAGTGTATGTACAGTCAGGGGCATAGCTTAGGGATGTGTGTGTGCCGCGGGTGGTGGCCCCAGGCACACAATTTTTGAGGGTGCGTGAACCAGGTGCCCCTACGCAAGCGACCCCAGAGGAGCATGGCCTGGTGCTCCTCTCCACCTGTCAAGGGCCATATCGGCCGGCTGGGCTCCCCTTGGGCAGGTGGCGCAGCACAGCCCCACTTTGCTCTGGTGGGGATGGGGTCACTCCGGTGGCATCGGATGGGCTGACGCCCTCTCTGCCCAATGCCCGCCCGCACCCACCCACCCTGGGCACCAGCAACTGATGCTACACCACCGTGTACAGTGGCTGTGGTGGCAACTCACCCTTCCCCCAATCTATAATTTGGATCCCAGCCTTCCTTTCTAATTGCATGTACAAAGCAATATTTCAAAATCTCCAGGCAGCATACATCCCCCAAACCCCAAGCTATTTACATTCACTTAACAGGAGTTCCCTATCTCCCAGCCCCCTGCTGGTGGTGGCTGGGTGGATTGGGGGACTCTTGAGAATGATGTGAAATATCCTGCAGGAAGCTGCTGATGGAGGGGGACGTTGGTGAAAATCACTTTATGTGAATAGAGGAGCAACTTGGGATTCAAGTCTATTTATTCCTTAGGAAGGCTTGCATCTGTGGTCATTATAAGAAATACAGTCGTACCTTGGAAGTCGAATGGAATCCATTCCGGAAGTCCATTCGACTTCCAAAACGTTCGGAAACCAAATTGCAGCTTCCGATTGGCTGCAGGAAGCGGCTGCAGCCAATCAGAAGCCGTGGAAGCCCCGTCAGATGTTCGGGTTCCAAAAGAACGTTCACAAACCGGAACAATCACTTCTGGGTTTGCGGCGTTCGGGAGCCAAAACATCTTGAGTTCCAGGGCGTTTGGGATCCAAGATACGACTGTATTCAAAAGTAGACACAACAAATGCTCTTAAAAAAAACACCTTGGGATTTAATAGTGACTATATCAAGGAACTTTTGAAGCTTCCTGTGAATCCTGTCCGGATTTCCTGTTCCCACCCTCCCTCAAATGGGTATACACAATTCCATTTTAGACTACGTTTACGTCCCGTCCCCCCCCCAAAAAAACCCCAGTTGTTATTATTTTTGCTGTCAAGCGTATTTCATCCAGTACCTCTTTGTAAGAAGACATAATCCTTTCAATGGCATCTGCTCCCGAGGCCAATAAATTTCTTGAAGTGGTGAAGGTTTCCGTCCTCTCGCTGACCATCGCTTGTTTCTGGCCATCTTCTAATTCTAAAGGCAAGAAAGAAAGATTAATTAGAGCAAACCTACCCGAAGCATATTCTAACTCCATTAAAGAGAAATTTCTCTAGAAGGAAAGGAGATGTGGGCAAAATTTGTGTACAGTGGTGCCTCGCAAGACGAAATTAATCTGTTCCGCGAGTCTCTTCGTCTTGCGGTTTTTTCGTCTTGCGAAGCACGGCTATTAGTGGCTTAGCGGCTATTAACGGCTTAGCGGCTTTAAGAAAAAGGAAACAAACTCGCATGAACTCGCAAGACGTTTCGTCTTGCAAAGCAAGCCCATAGGGAAATTCGTCTTGCGGAACGACTCAAAAAACGGAAAACCCTTTCGTCTAGCGAGTTTTTCGTCTTGCGAAGCATTCGTCTTGCGGGGCACCACTGTAGTTAAATCAGAATCAGTCAAACGCAGTTGCCAAATCCTGACTCAAAGAACGGTCCTGTGGCAGCAGCAGCAGCGTGTCAAGGAGACCTTGACAAATACTCCTTCTCTTGCCAGCACACTCAAGGAAAGGAAACTGCAGCATCTGCCTAAAGTCTCCCCACTATGCAGTCATCAAAAATACAAGAGCATTTGAGTAATTCCGGTTTTGGAAGAACAGTTTTGGAGAGACTGCGGCAACTGGATTTCATATTTGCATCTCAGCATAATTCAAAGCACTGGTAGCTACATTAAAAACCCTACAATCAGGGGGCAAATGCGTAGTCTGATACGGCCCCTGAAAACCCCTGGTAGTTTGGTGGCAGCAGCTGCAAAAACAAATGCAGTCTTACCGATCTCATTTGGGTCACATTGGGTCACCTGGCATAGATTTCTGCTGCAGTTGGCAGGGGGAAAGGATGTGGGGGAAATTGTGTGCGGTCAAAATTGTGCTACGATTTCCATCTAGGGCCAAGGATCCAAATTCCACAGCCCATCATGGTGTGTGTGCGCGCGCTCTGGTATACATACGTGTGTGTGAGGGCACTTTTTGGGGGGGGCATTGACATGTAGCCATTGTGGTGTGGTGGTTAAGAGCGGTGGACTCGTAATCTGGGGAACCGGGTTCACTTCCCCGCTCCTCCACATGCAGCTGCTGGGTGATCTTGGGCCAGTCACACTTCTCTGAAGTCTCTCAGCCCCACTCACTTCACAGAGTGTTTGTTGTGGGGGAGGAAGGGAAAGGAGAATGTTAGCCGCTTTGAGACTCCTTAGGGTAGTGATAAAGCGGAATATCAAATCCAAACTCTTCTTCTTCTTCTTCCTTGGAGGACCATGTAACTATCGGGTTCTAAAGCTTTGACCCAAAGGCCTCAGATCCAAAATACCCAAAGGAATACATTCTGCTATATCAATTTACCTGCTCCCTCCACTCCTCTTAGCGCGGAGCACAACTGATTGTGGCAAGAGAAAGGGCTTTTGAGGTGCACCAAAAACCATGCACCTTGCAGTGGTAAAAAAGCCACTCTCTAGTTGTCATGTGCTGGTTGGTGAAGATGCAATTGGCCTCGAGCGTCACTTACAGGCTCATTGTTAAAACCGTGTTTATGGAAGAAGGAGAAGAAAAGAAGGCTTTTTATAAAGTTTGGCAAGCTTTTTCTTTGCTAAGCACCTAATATTTTATTTCAAAGGTGTGGTTCATGTCTCTGCTTCTGTTTTCACTGAACTTTAATTGAATTATTTATTGTTATTATTATTATTATTATTATTATTATTATTAATTAAGTTTCTATACAGCTCTTCATCCAAGGATCACAGGGCATTTTACAATATAAAACTGAAATTTCAGGAACATGTGTTGTTTGTAAAGGACAGTACAGTTTTAAATTGTTGCAAGCCACCCTGAGTACCGCAATAGGGACCAGAAGGGTGGGACAGAATTTTTTATATAAAAATAAATACAAATAGTATAACATGAGTAAACAAATGGCAACAATTGCCTTTGGCTTTGCCATTACCCAGTGATTTGTCACCCAGTGCCCCAGGATTCCTGTTTGTACGTCTTAAAAATATTTCACTCATTCATTTGTTCATTCTGTCCCTGTTTTCATCACACAAAATGATCCCAGAAGGGAATACAATCAATTATCATTAAAATAAAACATAATCCATAGTGCAATTGACTGAAGGCAAATTCTATTATGTGTGTGTAAAAAAACAAACAAACCTGTCATCAAAGTAGAATTTAGGAAGCCTTAGAAAGTCAAAGAATTTAGGAAGCTAAGGCTTCAATCTTGTATACACTGTATATATCTATTTATAATATTTATAAGCTGCCCTTTCAAGTAAAAAGCCTCCCAAGGTGACACAGAAGTTTACTTTTATTTATATTGCATATTGATTATTCAAAAGCATAATGCTAAAAATGAAGAACAAATAACACTAGCAACATTTAAAAGCAATAAAACACATCTAAGTCACATGGGCAGCTGTATTGTTCACCACTGGAAGGTTCCAAATTATCTTTAAAAGGCAGCCATATACAGAGCATCACCTCCCTTGGAGAAGCAGATGGAAACAAAAATTTCACTCACAGAGTGATGACACTTCAGCCAAAACCTCTGCGTTACAGTGGAACCTTGGTTCTCGAACACACTCCATTCTGGGAATCCGTTCAACTCCCGAAACTGTTCCAAAACCAAGACGCAACTTCCGATTGGCTGCAGGAGCTTCCTGCACTCAAGCGAAGGCCGCGTTGGATGTTCGGCTTCCAAAAAAACATTCAAAAACCGGAACACTTACATCCGGGTTTTCGGCATTCGGGAGTCAAAACGTACGAGTACCAAGGCATTTGAGAACCAAGGTACGACTGTACTTCCCTCAATTTTTTCATGCAGATGTTAAAATGCACGGGGCACACAATGGAATCTCGTGGCACACCGTAGGTCAATGGCCAACCCAGCGGAATGCTCCAGAAAGATACCATGGTTGATGATATGGAAAGTTACTTAGAGCAGTGTTTTTCAACCTTTTTTGGGCAAAGGCACACTTGTTTCATGAAAAAAATTCACGAGGCACACCACCACTGTGTGCAGAGAGGGAGATGTCAGAGCCCCGCTGCTCTCTATGGGGAATCGGATGAGAGCGGACCGCCTGTGGGCGAAAATTTGACATTTAAAAAAAAAAAAAATCTTTCAAATTTTTCAGTTTTTCCCACGGCACACCAGGCAACATCTCGCGGCACACTAGTGTGCCGCGGAACAGTGGTTGAAAAACAGTGACTTAGAGGTTCAGGAGAACCAATCCGACTGAACTTCCTCATCCAGCCCTCAGTGTAAGTCGTCCAACAAGACAACCATGGCTGTGTCTATCCCATAGCCAGGCCTGAAACTGCGAGAGTAAGCTCCACTGAGCTCAGGGGCAGATTAGAATCATATAGGATTTGTACTGTAAAACCTGAATAATTTCTTCACCTCTACCATTAATCACTGATCATTACTAGAACTCTAACAATTTGTTTCATTAGGGAAGTTTTTAACGACTGACGTTTTAATGTATTTTTAATCTTTTGTTGGAAGCCGCCCAGAGTGGCTGGGGAAACCCAGCCAGATGCGCAGGGTAGAAATAATTAATTATTATTATATTATTATTATCATTTATATTCACTATATTTTTTCCACAGAATTCAAGGCGGTGTTCCCAGGCACTGGCAAAGAACTAATTACTTTCAGCAAAGTCCCTGTGTTATGTCCCTTCAGAGCATGGGCCGAGAGAACAAATTCCTCTCAAGGCTCGACTTTCATTTGCTTGTTTTGACTAGAACAGCTATTAAATATGTTCTTGTTATTTTAGAAAACAAGGCCCCCCCCCATTTGAGAATATTACAATAATGCATAGTTGAATAAAGAAATGTACTTTGTGGGGAATCATTTTATTTTTGTCACTAGGGCATTATGTTTGCGTTGTGAGGGGGGGAAACCTTAATTTTTTTAAAAAACGCAAACTGACATGGAAATGTGGAGAAGTCTGGGAAAATGACAAAAGGGAATGAAACTGAAATTCAGAGATTTATGCATCCCAAGTCAAGCCTCTTTTGAGGCGTGGGGTGGGGAGGAAAGAGGGAGAATAATTTCCTGGAATATCCTGACATGTCAGGCTGCCCATTCAATGGTTTGTTTCAGACTCCATTTGCATATATCCACTGCTGCAGAGGGACAGGCGATAACTAAATGCTGAATATAATAAATAGTGTTTGCACAAGTCAGTTTAATGTATTGATTACACGGTATGAACTGGCTAGAATTCATCTCATTTTCTCTTTCTTTCTGAGACTGCTTGCACGTGCAGAAAAGGTCTTGCATGATGCGCTAAAATAGTTATCAGAAAGAATTAAGAAAATAACAAAAATTGCATGTGTGTAATAGCAGTAGCTGGACCCACCTTTATTTAAAGGGCAACAAATCTGTAGTTGTTTCTTTTAGTATTATTGTACGTTTACAGCCAAGAAGACGTGCTGGGGGGATTTTCTGCCTCAGGCACCAAAGTAATTTGACCTACCTTGGGCACTAAGCCCCTTGACTTGAGCCTGGGGGCACCATTTACTATTCTGCCCAAGGCAACAAAAGGTTTTTGGGTAGGACAGCTGTTTTTATAACTTACTGTATTTTTTGCTCTATAAGACACACTTTTTCCCTCCTAAAAAGTAAGGGGAAATGTGTGTGTGCGTCGTATGGAGCAAATGCAGGCTGCGCAGCTATCACAGAAGCCAGAACAGCAAGAGGGATTGCTGCTTTCACTGCGCAGCGATCCCTCTTGCTGTTCTGGCTTCTGAGATTCAGAATATTTTTTTTCTTGTTTTCCTCCTCCAAAAACTAGGTGTGTCTTGTGGTCTGGTGCATCTTATAGAGTGAAAAATACGGTAGTTTTTCCTAGAGTTGTTCCACCTAGCCACACAATGCTGGGCAGACACAGGGTTGCTGCAGCTAAGAATATGTAGACACCTTTCTGATCGATTCCTCCAGATAATCCCACTGGGACGAAACCGCCACACAAAACGTTTCACGTTCAATAAAATGTTATTACCGCCATCAGCAAATCCCGTCGCAGTGATGATGGGTACGGCCACCATAATCAAGCCGCTGCTGCTCCAGACGTACTTCATCAGAAACTGCTCCAGCATGATGTACCATAAGCGTTTGGACAGAATGAGGTTCATTTGGTCTGCTAGAGCTTTGTAGCTTTTCTGTAGCTGGTTCATTTCTACCTGCAGTTTAAAAATGCAAATATTGATAAGAGCATGGTACGTGTGATTATGTATGCACTTTAAACAGACAAGCCTAAACAAGTGAATATATATCTGTCCAGAGACAGAAACCAGCAACACCAGGTGACCAGAAAGTAGACTCATATTCTTACCTGGCTTTTAGTACACCATTAACACCGGTCCTGAAAGACCTACACTGGCTCCCAGTACGTTTCTGAGCACAATTCAAAGTGTTGGCCCTTTAAACCCCTAAACGGCCTCGGCCCAGTATACCTGAAGGAACGTCTCCACCCCCATCGTTCAGCCCGGACACCGAGGTCCAGCACCGAGTGCCTTCTGGCAGTTCCCTCCCTGCGAGAAGTGAGGTTACAGGGAACCAGGCAGAGGGCCTTCTCGGTAGTGGCGCCCGCCCTGTGGAACACTCTCCCACCAGATGTCAAAGAGAAAAACAACTATCTGACTTTCAGAAGACATCTGAAGGCAGCCCTGTTTAGGTCTGTTAATGTTTGATCGTGTTTTTGTTATTCTGTTGAGAGCTACCCAGAGTGGCTGGGGAAACCCAGCCAGATGGGTGGGGTATGTATGTATGTATGTATGTATGTATGTATGTATGTATAAATAAATAAAACTGTTAGGCAGGGTCTCAGTTGGTATATGTAAAGGTAAAGGTACCCCTGCCCGTATGGGCCAGTCGTGTCTGACTCTAGGGTTGCATGCTCATCTCGCTCTAGAGGCCGTGAGCCGGCGCCATCCGAAGACACTTCCGGGTCACGTGGCCAGCGTGATGAAGCTGCAGCTGGCGAGCCAGCACCAGCGCCGCACACGGAAACGCCGTTTACCTTCCCGCTATAAAGCGGTACCTATTTATCTACTTGCACTTAAGGGTGCTTCCGAACTGCTAGGTGGGCAGGAGCCGGGACCGAACGACGGGAGCTCACCCCGCCGCGGGGATTCGAACCGCCGACCTTACGACCAGCAAGTCCTAGGCACTGAGGTTTTACCCACAGCGCCACCCGTGTCCCAGTTGGTATATGTAGTTTTGATCAACTCAACAACCCAAACTGGGTAGCTTGGACATATCTTCCTAGAAGTGAGATATGCAGTGGAGGCTGCAACATTAAGGCAAACAAAGCACTGCTCTACCAACCTCAGCCTGCCCTCACCCAATCCCCATCCGCTTGCCCAAATTCTTACAACCAATCCAGTGAGGTGGCACTGCTTGTCAGCTTCATCCACCTTAGTCTCAGAGTTGCTCTTGCAGAACTCAGCAGGGAGGATGGAGACAAAACTAGAATTAATTGACTCTAGTTTTACTTACTGCCTTCTCTCCTACCAATCCTAATGGGCAACAGCCACCAATGGAGATATGTTAATTCCCATGCTTTCTGTAAGATAATGATAATAAGCATGGCAAGAGAGGGTTACTCACTCATCCTTCCACTTTGTGTCCCATCTGGAAGCACCCAGAAAAGCAACCTTTATATTAATATGGTCACATAGGTAGACCTGTTGGTTAAAGACACCTGATCCTGGTTGTTTCATATATTAAAAAGGGTAAAGGGATCCAGTTGTGGCCGACTCTAGGGTTACGGAGCTCATCTCGCTTTATTGGCCAAGGGAGCCGGTGTACAGCTTCCAGGTCATGTGGCCAGCATGACTAAGCCGCTTCTGGCGAACCAGAGCAGCGCACGGAAACGCCATTTACCTTCCCGCCAGAGTGGTACTTATTTATCTACTTGCACTTTGACGTGCTTTCGAACTGCTAGGTTGGCAGGAGCAGGGACCGAGCAACGGGAGCTCACCCCGTTGCGGGGATTCGAACCACCGACCTTCTGATTGGCAAGCCCTAGGCTCTGTGGTTTAACCCACAGTGCCACCTGCGTCCTGTTTCACATATTACATAGCAGCAAATCAAGGCGTGTACACCCAACAGCACCCTTCAACCTACCCCAGTTCCATGAGGGCTGTACCTATAGCCCAAATACTGCCTACTCTGATGGGCAGAAGACTTCCAGGGTATTAGACAGAAGTACGTCTCAGCCCTGCTTCCATATCTATATAGAAATGTGAGAGGGTTGAACGTGGGGCACCATATATGTTCTACCACTAAGCTCCATCTCCTCAGTCACAGAAAATGGTGACTCATTACAACTCTACCCATTCTACAGCTTCTCCATCAAGTTCAGTGTAGATCTTTGCACTATCCTATGGCATCCTTTCAAGATGTAATGTTATGGAACAAGGCACACTTTCTGGCTCCTATGGGACACTGCTGCTTTGGAATAAGAGCTAATCCTTTAAACATCCTGCAACCCTTTTCATTTTGCTTGGCTAAGGAATCTCTACCAACATATACCAGCTGAACATCTGGCCAGTTAATGCTAGCATCAACTCAATCACTTACAGCATGGATGATGATGATAATACTTTTATAACGAGTACAGATATTTATGAATCAGAATTGCTGTTTGCAAATGAATGGTGATTTTAGCAAATACCCATCTTCAAATTAAAACGAAACATTGTGTTGTTATTTTTAACTCCATCAAAATACAAACCAGGAGCCAAGGCAAGGATAAATAACTTAAAAGCAAATTATAACTTAATGGCTTTGGTGCTGCTTTTAGACTCAGACCTGCAAGTCTTACTTAGGTCAGCGAATTCTAGGAGCTTTGATTCCGTCAAACTTGATTATAAAAATTGCTTTTAATAATGTTTGTGTGCTTGTGCCTGGAGCTGTGATCTTTGAAGTATGGTGAAACATCATTTGCTGGACCATCCTCGGGAATTCTCAACTCTGTTTTTGTGGGGAATGCTCTATTTAAGTGCATTGCTGATCTAGGCTTAGGTACCTGACAGATGCTGAACGTGAAAATAAGCAGTCCGTTATTTTTCAGAAGATTAACCCTTCTATAGGTTCTGTTATACACTCAGATAAAAATATTCCTTTGATCAACTTTCCTTTCTGTTTCCCTCTGAATAAGCCTGAGACTTGATTCAGACTCTCATTGGCCCACTTGCAATCACTTGTGGGGCTGCATGGGTTCTTCATCAGCTTGTGTGGAAGCTCAGACCATATGAACCACTGCCTCCATATGAGGCCAACACACACAATCACTGTAAGTTGCAAGAGGACTGCTAAAACTGGTACAAACTGTGATGGCTGCATATACGAGTGCCACATCAAAGCACTTATCACCAGCAGTGCCTCATTTCCCCATGCCAAGCAGTTGAGTGGGCACCACCAAGCACACGCCCACGTGCTGCAAGTCAACTGCGAATTCCTCAAACGCTGACAGCTAAACTTGCCCATGGCCGCATATCAATCATTTCCTGCATAGCCTTAAAGGGTTAGGAAGGCTATAGCCAGAAAACTTCTATTCTAGATAGTAGGGTAAAGGTAAAGGTAAAGGGACCCCTGACCATGAGGTCCAGTCGTGGCCGACTCTGGGGTTGCGGCGCTCATCTCGCTTTACTGGCCGAGGGAGCCGGCATACAGCTTCCGGGTCATGTGGCCAGCATGACTAAGCCGCTTCTGGCGAACCAGAGCAGCACATGGAAACGTTGTTTACCTTCCCACCGGAGCAGTACCTATTTATCTACTTGCACTTTGACGTGCTTTCGAACTGCTAGGTTGGCAGGAGCAGGGACCGGGCAACGGGAGCTCACCCTGTCGCGGGGATTCGAACCACCGACCTTCTGATCGGCAAGTCCTAGGCTCTGTGGTTTAACCCACAGTGCCACCCGCGTCCACAGATAGTAGGGTAGGAGAGCTGAAAAGAATGCCAATATATTTCACATCTGGCAAACAATGCGGCTCTTTGGTTTCAGACGGTACATGGGTAGAGAGAGGGTAGAGGGTCCATTAGGTCCAGTCACAGCCGACTGTGGGGTTGCAGCGCTCATCTCGCTTTACTGGCCAAGGGAGCCAGCGTACAGCTTCCGGGTCATGTGGCCAGCATGACTAAGCCGCTTCTGGCGAACCAGAGCAGCGCACGGAAACGCCGTTTACCTTCCCGCCGGAGTGGTACCTATTTATCTACTTGCACTTTAATGTGCTTTCGAACTGCTAGGTTGGCAGGAGAAGGGACCGAGCAACAGGCGCTCACCCCGTCGCGGGGATTCGAACCGCCGACCTTCTGATTGGCAAGTCCTAGGCTCTGTGGTTTAACCCACAGTGCCACCCGCGTCCCCAGATAGTAGGGTAGGAGAGCTGAAAAGAATGCCAATATATTTCACATCTGGCAAACAATGTGCCCCTTTGGTTTCAGATGGTACATGGGTAGATGAGTCTAAATGCCTGGGACACAAATTTTCACAGCCTTCCAGCGTCTATGGTGGTTCATTTACCAGAAGTGATGTATTCAGCATTAAGTCTGGAAGTGTTTACTCAATTCTGAGCAAACTAAGCTTCTTGATGTATTATTTTGTTCTAGGAGGCTTAGTTTGTTCTGGGTTTTCTAGTCTCGTTTACCCATGTACTATCTGAAACCAAAGGGGCACATTGGTTGCCAGATTTTAATTTTTTTTCAGCTCTCCTAACCCACCAAGAGCAATGTTTTGGGGGAAGTTGGAGATACAGCTGGTATGACTCAGGCCTGCATTGTTCTTGTACCAGCTCTCTGTCTAGGCTAGTTCCTCATTCATCGCACAGGCATGATGGTGATGGGAAACTCTCCTTGTGTTGCACCGAGGAAGACAACTTCTTCTCCTTCCACCTGTGCTAAAGGCCAATGTGACACCATAAGAAGCTCTGGTGCAAGCGGGACCCAAGTCCAGGTTAGTGACATAAGAAGAGCCTGTTTTTAGGTGGAAAACTCTGTCCCCACATTAAAACAAATTTTTAAAATGTGCATTGAATATATTTGCCACCTTGATTTTTAAAAAATACTCATTCATTTTATGTAACTAGTTGTTAAAGCACCCACAACACTTTGGCCTGAGCTATTTAAAGACTTTGCAGCGCTGCATCTCTGCTCAGCTACACAGATCAATGGCAAAGGTTGTATTTGATGTCCACATTGAAAGAGCAAAGTTTTCCCCAGGCTGCCAAGTGAAAGTGCTGCATTGATCAGGGTGGGACAGGAGGGGGAGGGGAAATGATTTCTTGCAACCAGCACATTTGAAAGACTAGGAAGAACAATCTATAAGAAATGAATGAAAACAAAGCCCATTTTATGTTCAGCCCTCACATGTGTTTTCTGAGGAGTGAGTCCCTCCAAGTTCAATGGCGCTTACTCACCAGTAAGGGTTTAGGGATTGCAGCCTTTGGCACTCTTACACAGGAGTAAGCCCTAGAATATGATGGATTTACTTGAGTTAGTCATGCATAGGCCTGCACTATCAGTCATCCAAACAGCTGGGAGAGAAAGAGTAGAAAATGGGGAGTGTGTAGATAAGTCCGTGGCCTTTTTATTCTGTATTCATTAATCCCAAACCTCAGGTTCTGCAGCCACTGTGGCTGCAACAGAAGGGAAATTCACCCTTTTGCAGGAAGAAAAGAGCGCTTAGCACGTATTAAAGGGAGAGAGCTAATGATTGTTAAGCTACTACTGCTGGTACTTGCTCTGGCCTTTTCCAGAAAAACAAGGCTCCTTTACTAAGCCTGCAGGAACCTATATTGTAAACAGGTCTGGGTGTCAGAGGAATTCAACTCTCCCAGGGATGAGGGCAGCAGGAGGAGGGATTGCCAAGTACTACAGCTGAGAGGTCTCTCCTGTCTCAGATGTCACCCAGCTCCTGTATCTCCTCCTCCTCCTCCTCCTCCTCCTCCTCCTCTTCTTACCTTGTGGCCCCTATAGAAGGCGATTTCCTCCACGTTGGCGATGATCCGAGAGTGGACGTAGCGCAGGTAGCCCTTGCGCTGGGCCTCCTCGGCCACCAGCTTGCCAAACCTGGGCGAGCAGGCTTTGAGCACCTTGGCGGTGGCGTAGACCACCAGCCCGGCCAGGAGCGTGGGCCCGATGGGGCTGGCCCCCCTGGACCTGGCCGTCTGGATGAGGGTGTAGGAGGTGAGCACCACGTCGAGGATGGGCTTGGTCAGGTTGGAGTAGAGGTGCGCCACCGACTGCGAGAACATGGCCATGTCCTCGGTGAGCGACTGGTCCGGGTTGGCCAGCCGGCTGTCCATGTTGATCACCTTGTAGTAGGTCTGGTCGGCGAAGTAGGTCTGGTAGGCGTGATCCACCAGGCGGGTGCGGAAAGCCAGCGCCAGCTTGCCCTCCAGGTAGCGGATGGCGCTGTTGACGAAGGTGGCCGGGATGGCGATGGCCAGCCACTTGATCAGCTTCCAGGCGAAGCTGCGCGGCCGCTTCTCCACGATGCTCTTGACGATCTTGCCGTCCAGGCCGGCCACGTAGATGGAGAGGAAGGTCCGCGACACCAGCGCCGCCGAGTGCAGGCACAGCCAGCCGCTCTCCGCGCTCACCGCCCGCGGGAAGAGGATCTTGCGCAGCGCCAGCAGCTGGCGGAAAAATTCCGCATTGGCCGCCGGAGACGCTCGGAGACCCGGGCAAGGCAGCAGCTGCAGCTCCGGAGGAAGATCAGCCCGGCTGCCGCTGGCGATCTGCCTCTGCTGCGGGTCCTTCTTGCAGCCCGCCTGCCGGAGCCGCCTGCGGACCAGCGGGCAGAGGATCTTCAGCCCGTACACCGCAGCCAGCAAGCACGCCGCCCTCTTCGCGGCGCCCGAGCGGCTCCATTTCTCGCGCCCGGGGGGCATTTTCCCGGGGATCCTCCTCCTCCTGCCTGGCTTATCTATTCCACCCGCCCAGAGGGAGGGGCGCAGGGCCGGCAGCCGCTCATCCAGGCCTGGGGAGACCCATCTTCACGCGGCCCCCCTTCCCCCCGCGCCGCCGATCGCGCCCGCGACCCAGGCGGAATGACTCCGGCTCCGCCGGCAGCCGAGGCTTTTTCCCTGCCACCACCGGCGAATCATGGCCCACCCCGCCGCGGCAAGCCACGCCCCCCCGCCGCCCGCTCATTGGTCGCCGAGGCCTGGGAAATCCTCGGCCGGCGAGCGGCGTCGCTTTCCTTCTGGTCCTCCACAGCGCTCTCGGTTAAAAAAGTGGGATTCCGAAGCCGAGCAGCGGAAATCCTTTCCGCTGCCGGGTTGGTGTGGCGTCGAAAGCATCTGCTGTCATTTCTCTCTCTCTCTCTCTCTCTCTCTCTCTCTCTCTCTCTCTCTCTCTCTCTCATTCTCTCTCTCTCACAGCTGTCAGTTTACAGATTTGAAAATAAGGGACCAGCAGCCTCGAAAATAAGGGATCAGCAGCCCAAATAAGGGATTTTGCTTAGCTTATACATCAATACACTGCCTTGCCGTGGCGAAGGGGCTTGAATAACTCAGAGAAGCTATGAGCTATGCAGTACAGGGCCACCCAAGATGGACAGGTCATAGTGGAGAGTTTTGACCAAACGTGATCCACCTTAAAAAGCAGAGACATCAGCTTGCCAACAAAGGTCAGTATAGTTAAAGCTATGGTTTTCCCAGTAGTGATGTATAGAAGTGAGAGCTGGACCATAAAGAAGACCAGAAAGAACCGAAGAATTGATGCTTTTGAATGCTGGAGGAGACTATTGAGAGTCCCATGGACTGCAAGAAGATTAAACCTATCCATTCTTAAGGAAATCAGCCCTGAGTGCTCACTGGAAGGACAGATCGTGAAGCTGAGAGTCCCACAGTTTGGTCAGACTCATGCTGGTAGCTTTGAGAACACTGTCCAGCCATCTCATCCTCTGTTGTCCCCTTCTCCTTGTGCCCTCCATCTTTCCCAACATCAGTGTCTTCTCCAGGGAGTCTTCTCTTCTCATGAGGTGGCCAAAGTATTGGAGCCTCAGCTTCAGGATCTGTCCTTCCAGTGAGCATCAAAATATTATTATTGCTATTATTAATAGCCCACACTTCACCCTAAGGTCCCAAGGCGGATTACAGCAATTAAAACACATTGTTAAAAGCAGTTTTAAATAATTTCCAATCATAGAAATAAGGTGGGTCCTCAAAATATACATCTCAGGTGTCAAAAGCCAGGTTAAAGAGATGTCTTCCGCATCTTCTGAAAGCTGTATAATGAAGATGCCAGACACACCTCTGTGCGGAGGGAGTTCCACAATTTAAGGGCTACCACAGAGAATTCCCTCTCCTGGGCTGTCAACCCCCCAAGGTTCAGAGAGTGATTGAACAACCTAAGGGTGGGTTCTGTAGGGAAGAAGGCAGTTTTTTCAGATGGCCTACTAAGGAGAAGAGCTCTCTAGTCATTTCTATACCGTTCTCAGACAGACTCTTGAGCAATAGAAAATAGGCTTGCTGCTTTGGAGATGAGGGGAACAGGGCCTTGGTACCATATTGATGCAATTGCATGTTGATAAAAGTTTTGTTTTCTGCTTTTGCTAAAGGCACAGATGCCGCATCAGAAAAATGGTGGTGACCTCAAAAGGACAAAAGGATGTTAGGGCTCTCTGACAGCACTCCATTGATAGCAGAACTTGGCTAGCAGAACCTTCCTCATGCGCTAAGTGCTGAACTGAAAGACAAAGTGCTAAGAAGACCACAGCACAGTAATTATCATCTGAAAAAACCCTGTGTGGTTATTGCTGCCCTCATCCTGACATTGATTTAAATAACGTACAGTACATATATAAACATCTATTCTCGTTTGTGAGCAAGAATACAGTTTAAGGCTTGAGGTTTTCACTTTCTGCAAGCCCAACATTTTTATGGCACTGTTTTGATGCTGACTTGTCTCATGAAGGCTGTGATCCTAACCACATCCATCGTGGAACTTTCCCCACTTTTTAGTATTTTAGGTTGCAACCCAATGGGCTGCCAAAACATGGTGCCCGTGTCAGTGAGTTCAAGCTGCAGTTCTCCTTTCCGTGGACTTTTTCTTTCTGCTGCTGGCTTGGCCGACTGTGGAATTTGGCTCCTAATTTACATATAAGGAAAACATCCAGTACACCACTTTAACATGCTTTAAACAATTTCTTAATTAAAATACTTGTAAGCACCAACACAACGATCTATTTTGCAACAAGAGGCTTGAAACATCTTTTTCTTGTGACTAATAGCCATTCATGTCCTATCTAGTTTTCTTCCTTTGAGGACCAACACATACCGGAAAGCAGCTGAAATACTGCTCATGTTTCATGGCCTGGGTTCTGGTCAACGCTGTCCAGCTTCTCTGCAGACCTATGACTGAGAGGCCATCACATATGCATGCCATCTTGCCAGGTTCACCCCGAAATATGGCACCAATCATCTCCACATCCCTGTAATTAAGGGGCAGATGTACACATTGCAGATACACACACACAAACACACAACAAATGTGGCCATCATTTCTCATAAACAATGTAGTGCATATGAGTGTGATTTGAAAGCTCATGCACCCCCTTTAAAAACGGCTTCTGGTTGGTAAATCTGGTTTATTGGTCTGTGTTGAGTGGCCCCAAAGTGTCAAATAAAATAAATGAAATTTATGCAGTCAGGTTGTTAACAGTTTATGGAGGTCACTATGATCTAATTTCACTGTTAGACACATAAACATCCAGAAATATACATACATACGCTGTGGGTTAAACCACAGAGCCTAGGACTTGCCGATCAGAAGGTCGGCGGTTCAAATCCCCGTGACGGGGTGAGCTCCCGTTGCTCGGTCCCTGCTCCTGCCCACCTAGCAGTTCGGAAGCACGTCAAAGTGCAAGTAGATAAGGGAAGGTAAACGGCATTCCTGTGTGCTGCTCTGGTTCGCCAGAAGCGGCTTTGTCATGCTGGCCACATGACCAGCTGTCTGCGGACAAACGCCGGCTCCCTCGGCCTATAGAGTGAGATGAGCGCACAACCCCAGAGTCGGTCACAACTGGACCTAATGGTCAGGGGTACCTTTACCTTGGGACGTGGGTGGCGCTGTGGGTTAAACCTCAGCGCCTAGGACTTGCCGATCGCATGGTCGGCGGTTCGAATCCCCGCGGTGGGGTGCGCTCCCGTTGCTCGGTCCCAGCGCCTGCCAACCTAGCAGTTCGAAAGCACCCCCGGGTGCAAGTAGATAAATAGGGACCGCTTACTAGCGGGAAGGTAAACGGTGTTTCCGTGTGCGGCTCTGGCTCGCCAGATGCAGCTTGTGACGCTAGCCACGTGACCCAGAAGTGTCTGCGGACAGCGCTGGCTCCTGGCCTATAGAGTGAGATGAGCGCACAACCCTAGAGTCTGGCAAGACTGGCCCGTATGGGCAGGGGTACCTTTACCTTACCTTACCTTTACCTTTATGATCTAATTTCACTGTTAGACACATAAACATCCAGAAATACACACACACACACACACACACACACACACGTGTGTGTGTGTGTGTGTGTGTGTGTGTATCTTTTAAAAAATACAGCTTGGTTATTTTAATTGTAACTGTTTTTAAACAAATGATATGGTTCAGAATGGAACAGCCATTTAATGAGGAGGGCATTGATGGCTTTTAGAGGCAAAGCATGTGGACCAAATAATGTGGTATTTGGAAGATTTCTGGAACACTGCCATTACAGTAGCAAGAGGGCGAGTTGGAGAACTAACTGAAAGCAGAGTTCTGCAATGAGTCAGGAAGCCCAAAGTTAGATGTAACTGCAAACCAAAGTGAAGCCCGATGGAACACAGTCTGTGCAGCATGCTTTGTTTATTCAGCTTTTTCATTTAACCATTTATATTCCACTTCTCTACCAACTTGAGGCAGCATGCAGTATTCTGAAATCATGTCAGATATCACCACCCATATATAATAAGAAGCTCACGGCACTCCAAAAATGACACATTGCACAAAGCTGACCATATCAGCAGGATATGCAACATCTCTCAGCTTGCAGTATTTTAAAATCACATCAAGTGAATTAGCACCCATATCTAATTATATATAAATACAGTACATAGCACTATAATTATAACACATTGCACAAAACATAGCACGTTAACCAAGCATGAAATATATATTTACTTTTTTAAAAAAAAAAAATTTTCTTGATTTTCTTTCTTGCAACAAATATCCATAATCATTACTAAACATTCATTTTCCAATTTCCCCCCTCCCTGTTGACTTCCCTCAACCTCCATTTCTGGTTTGTTACATCAAATGGTACAATCTACTGTTTATATATGATACTATGTTTTCCCATTTTTATATTTCTTGTTCTCTGTAAATAAAATTGTAAATCCTGCCAGTGAGTCCATGTTTTTTTGTTTCTGCAAATATGTTGTAAAGGGTTCCCATTCTTTTTAAAAGTTACTATTGTCCTTTTCACGCAACTTGTCCGTTAATTTTGCTTACTCTGCATAGTTCATCAACTTTTCTTGCCATTGTTCTTTGGATGGTACTTCTCCAGTCTTCCAATTTTGTGCTATTAACATTCTGTTGTAGCATACATAAATAATGTCCGTTTTTCTTTTGGCAACTCTTGTCCCAAAGTACCCAACAGAAAAGCTTCTGTTTTTTTAACAAATGTTATTTTAAACATTTTTTTTTCAATTCATTGTACTGTATATTATTTCCCATTTTTAAAAAATAATCTTGCAGTCCCACCACATATGGTAAAATGTACCTTGCCCATGAAATATATATTTACTGACCAACCAAATGGATCGCTTTAATGGCCCTTTTTAAGGACTAGAAGGGAATATACCTGACCAAGGCTGCAATCCTATACACATGACAGGGCAATGAGGTCATATTATGCTTTCCCCCACAATCTGAGGTAAGGTGGTGACCAGATGCCAAGCAAATATGATCCCTGGCTCCTCTCATTTTAGAAACTGAACACAGGGAAGGGGGTAATTAGGGAAACTTTTCAAAAAATAGTATTTGCCAGGCTCGAAGGGCAAAACTGGCTGTGTGGCTGGCTGGCTGGCATGCATCCGATCCCAAAGCTTGGAGGAAGGGAAAGAAAATCTTAATACATAAAGCAAATAAATAGGTTAACCAGAATAAAAGAGAATGGAATCTCATGTATAGCTCCCCAAATATGTTTCCATCCTTGCTGTGCTCAACCTTTTAAAAGCAAATCTGCTACAAGTGTTTGAGCAGAAACCTGTTGCTGCTTTTACAGTGTTCAGTAAAGGCTTTGGGCTCATCTGCAGATACAGTTTTAATTGAGGACCCAAGGGCAATGAGCTGGGTTGCTAAGGAAAGGCACCTGCAAATGATATGACAGCAAAAGCAATGTAGCTAACTAAGGTGCATGGGGAAAACAATGCTTTCAGTACCAAATATTCCACACCATATACGCAAGATCACATCCTTGTCTGTATTCTGCTTTGTTCCAGAATTAACACCTTTCTGGTTTCACACCCAAGAGCGGAGAAAGCAGATCATAATTCCTACTGTGACCATGACATGGCGGTTTAAGGTTGTTAAAGGGTAACCGTAATCCAAATGTGGAACATGCAACCCTCAAGTTATGAACCATGTTTTCTCCCGACAAGCTGATTTTAAACCTGCCAACTTCAAAGTAGTTGTGACTTAACTTTCTTTTGTGTCTAACTTTCCCAGTCCCCGAGAACAAGACAACATCATAGCCCTTGGCAGCCTTGAGAAAACAGAGCATCATAGCTCAAAAGACCACAGTAGGGTGACACCAGACCACTAAATTATTCCTCTACAAATATGATCTGTGGTAGAAGGTTAATTTCATGTCCTCCAAGATTTCTCCGATGAAAATAGGGATGTCGTCAACAACAAGTGCTATTTTTCTAGAAAAAGTGCTGGAACTCACCAGGAACGCCTTCCTTGTTCTTTTATCATGGCAATAGCACCCACCAGAGAGATGTCGGGACTGAGTTCCAGTGAGCTCCAGCTGAAAAAAAGCCCCGATGATGATGATGATGATGATGATAATAATAATAATAATAATAATGATGATGATGTTATTATTTATAACATAGAGGTTGAATCCTGACAAGACAGAAGTACTGTTCTTGGGGGACAGGAGGCGGGCGGGTGTGGAGGACTCCCTGGTCCTGAATGGGGTAACTGTGCCCCTGAAGGACCAGGTGTGCAGTCTGGGAGTCATTTTGGACTCACAGCTGTCCACGAAGGTGCAGGTCAATTCTTTGTCCAGGGCAGCTGTCTACCAGCTCCATCTGGTACGCAGGCTGAGACCCTACCTGCCCGTGGACTGTCTCGCCAGAGTGGTGCATGCTCTAGTTATCTCCCGCTTGGACTACTGCAATGCGCTCTACGTGGGGCTACCTTTGAAGGTGACTCGGAAACTACAGCTAATCCAGAATGCAGCAGCTAGACTGGTGACTGGGAGCGGCTGCCAAGACCACATAACACCGGTCTTGAAAGACCTACATTGGCTCCCAGTACGTTTCCGAGCACAATTCAAAGTGCTGGTGTTGACCTTTAAAGCCCTAAAAGGCCTCGGTCCTGTATACCTGAAGGAGCGTCTCCACCCCCATCATTCTGCCCGGACACTGAGGTCCAGCGCCGAGGGCCTTCTGGCGGTTCCCTCACTGCGAGAAGCCAAGTTACAGGGAACCAGGCAGAGGGCCTTCTCGGTAGTGGCACCCGCCCTGTGGAACGCCCTCCCATCAGATGTCAAAGAGAAAAACAACTACCAGACTTTTGGAAGACGTCTGAAGGCAGCCCTGTTTAGGGAAGCTTTTAATGTTTAATAGGTTATTGTATTTTAGTGTTTTGTTGGAAGCTGCCCAGAGTGGCTGGGAAAATGCAGCCAGCTAGGCGGGGTATAAATGATAAATTATTATTATTATTATTATTATTATTATTATTATTATTATTATTATTATACCCCAGCCATCTGACTGGGTTGCCCCAGCCACTCTAGAAGGCTTCCAATATATATAAAAACATAATAAAACATTTTTATAAAGCTTCCCTATACAGGGCTGCCTTCAGATGTCTTCTAAAGTTACTTGTATCTCGCATTACTCCAAATGCTGGGGTGAAAATTGGTAGAGATTCTATATCTTTCACACAGTACAAGCCCCACCCCCAACATGTTTAAATCATGTATGGCCATGAACACACATGCAGAGAAGAGAGAGGGGGGAAACGCAATGTTCTGTGTGGATGTTAAATCAGACGGGATGAGAACTTCGGCCATTGTCTAATTCTACCCCAGCTCCTCAAGCCTTTTGATTACACCCTTATCTGCCCCCTGCCTTTTAAAAAAAATAATATTCCTGGTTTCTATTCCTCATTTAACTGCTGGAGAAAAGCTGCCTCTGCCTTTGCTCCTTCCAAGAGCTCCGTGGAGGCCTTGACGGTCCCTGAGGGGAAGACGGACGCAGAGTCCGGCCTTCGTGCCGCATTCACTCCTGGGGGGCTCATTGCAAGAGCCAGTTGCCTTCTTGCAAGGCCTATCTAGAAGGGTGGTTTTTTAAATATATAAAATAAATAAATCATCCGTAGGCCGCTCTGTTTTCTTGGGAGAGAAAATGAACTGGGTTGGTGGCTCTCGGTGAGTGCAGCCAAAAGGGCCTCATAACTGCTTGCAGCAGAAATGAAGGCCTCTGACCTCAGGCAAAGGTTTTGTGAAAGAATTGCTGCAAGACAGCTGGGAGCATATTAAGTTCCTCAAATGCAGATTTGCAAATGTAGATTTCCTTAAATCATTATGTTACGCTTCCTCAAATGTAGGTTTTGGTTTCTTTAAATCGTTACATTACACTTACTGTGGTTCCGAGGGCTGTAGGGCCACCAAAGCAGTACCACAATAGATAAACAACGAAGCTTTTATTTTTGCAAAGGGAGGGCTTTGAATTTTTGCCTGCTGTTTGAGGAGAAGATGGCAGCCATGTTGGAACTGATCTGTGCAGCTCAGGTGCAAAAGGACAGCATCGCTCCCTATTCATTAGAACACTTGATTTTTAAAAGTGCTTTCCAATGAGCGTTGCGTTTGCCCGTTCAAAAAGTTGTACTGTTTAGAATTCACAATCGGGCATTTGAGGATGACAGAAGCGGATGTGCCCAAGATGGCAAATTAATTCCATGACCCAATTTTCCCAGAACCTCCATCTTTGTGGTCCTAGAACCACACAGGCCTTGACTAAGGCCTAGTTTTCATTCAGGTGATAAAAGCTGCCTCAGGGCTTCACCGCTTCAGATCAAGGCTCACATGACTGAGGGTGAAGAGAGAGAGAGATAAAGAGTAATATTCTAATTGTGGTAGAAGTTTTTGCTACATGCATATTCCTGCATGGTCGGGGGTTGGTCTAGATGACCCGCAGGGTCCCTTCCAATTCTTCTGTGATTCTATGTAGAGGCATCTGTATTCTGGGAATAGGTAATAATTACTATTTTCACCACACTTCAACCATGTGGTAGGCTGCCCTCCGCATATAACTCCACACACCAATGCACTTTTTTGTTGTAAGAAGACCCCACGCTTCTTTACTGTATTTGTGGTTTTTATGGAAGCCGCCCAGAGTGGCTGGGGAGGCCCAGCCAGATGGGCGGGGTATAAATAATAAATTATTATTATTATTATTATTTATACGTGCATTGGAAAGACACAAAGTATAAACATGCTTGACTTTTTCATGTTTGGAATGTTTCTCCAAATATACATTCCTTCTGCATCCAGGACTGGATATTGGGAAGAAGACCCTTGTCACATTGATTTTTCATGTCAGGGATTAAAAAAAAATTTTTTTAAAGAAGAATTATTGACTCAGATGAGGCCCTAGGATTAGACAAATCCACAGAGGATAAGACTAGCAATGGCTATATTCTGCCTCCATTGTTGGAATGTCAAGTCACTGGGAATCACAAGTAGGCAGAGCACTGCTGTGCTCAAGTCCTTTGATCAAAATGTAGAATTTAAGGATTTATCTTTATTTTATTGGTTTCCCCTCCAGTGGAGAGAAGTCTATTACTGGCTAGTTGGCTTTAAAACTTTGAATTAACAGGCATTTAAGAACTGAAGCATTCAATTGATTAGTGCAGATTTGCTTTAGCTGATGACCTGGTAAATAGAAGAGTATTAAACATGCAGTATGTAAATGTCTCCTAAATGTCTGCAATCATTTATTATTTCTGTATATTACTAATGTCATTACAAATTCATGTTTCTTTTAAATCTTTCAAGTAAAAGAATCATGCTCACCAAAGAGAAAAGAAAGCAGAAGGTAAGGGGGAATTACACTGAATTAGGAGGCAGGTGCAAATGTGATTTCTGCTTGCCAGAAATCAACCACAGAAAAGAGAGTATTTGCATCATTGAAGTCTGGAAACAGATTAATTTTTCCAGAGAGGTAGATGTGATATTATGAAGCCATTCACAGTGTTCAAACACTCCAATTTTTCTGCTTGTCGACAGAAATGCCCCGTGATTGGAAATGAGGAATTAAAAACCCATGCAAGTCAGCCATTCCCAAATCACGTTTTTTCAGATCATATTGTCAGTGTCCTTTTCAAGGTTCTACTTTCAGGCTGAATTCTTTCACAACTGCTAACTCTTCTCTTTTGCTGCCAATGGCACGAGCTGTTTTGAGGATCTTGGTGGAATGATCGAGGGAAAGTTCCTTTTTTAAAAGGCAGTTTGTAATTGTTTGTCACCTTGAGCCTTGAGGTGGGATATATGTATGACTAAGAGCCTGTTTCTTTAGCAAGGAAGTGTACATTGTTATGACATTTTCCTGTCATTCTTAATATAATAGGACTTTTTCGAAAAAGAAAAGCTTAAATCAAAGATGAAGCTGTTGGGAATTTCTCCCCTTAAAAGCTCAGCTGTCAGCTTAGATCTCCTCAATCTGTGTGTTGTTAATCAGATATCTACCAAGAAAGATTGTTCTGGTGAGTTTAACTGCCAACTTAATTGTCAAAGTTTTACCATTAAAAGCATGACCGTAAGAAAAATGTGGCTAAGTTCTCCAACATTCACTCCAGTAAAATTACTCCTACTTCATCAGATCTGAACCACAACCTTTTTGTGTTCATTGAATGTCTTGCTAACTAAAAATGAAAACAGAATGCCGAAAAGTTGTAACCTACAATGAACATATCAACAATAATGAATACTGTATAGCATGTTTAAAAAGTGTTTTGGTCCTGCACTCTTACCAAAACATTGGATGTCCCTCTTTAATTCACTCAAAGGACTGTTAATATTTTGAGTACTTTCATTACAGAAAATGTTCGAAAAGCAGTTCATGTGGATATTAACAGAGGAGTAAAATTTCCGCTGAGAAGGCACAATGTAGAACTTCCTGAGTCACCACAATGTAGACAGTCCAAACCATACCAAGATGACACTGAGCACAGGTACATCCCAATATAATTTTCTAAACTGTAATATTTTGATTCATTGTATCTGTCTACCAGGGACGCGGGTGGCGCTGTGGGTAAAAGCCTCAGCGCCTAGGGCTTGCCGATCGAAAGGTTGGCGGTTCAAATCTCCGCGGCGGGGTGCGCTCCTGTTGCTCGGTCCCAGCGCCTGCCAACCTAGCAGTTCGAAAGCACCTCCGGGTGCAAGTAGATAAATAGGGACCGCTTACTAGCGGGAAGGTAAACGGCGTTTCCGTGTGCGGCTCTGGCTCGCCAGAGCAGCGATGTCACGCTGGCCACGTGACCCGGAAGTGTCTCCGGACAGCGCTGGCCCCCGGCCTCTTGAGTGAGATGGGCGCACAACCCCAGAGTCTGTCAAGACTGGCCCGTACGGGCAGGGGTACCTTTACCTTTTATCTGTCTACCTACCGACATACCTACCTACCTACCTATCGTAGACTACTTTGGCATAGGTTCTAGCTCAGGGGTCTGCAACCTTTAAGACAAAAAGAGCCACTTGGACCCTTTTTCCGAAGGAAAAAAAACTGGGAGCCGCAAAACCGGGAAGGTGACGTCGGGACAGTGCGTGACTAATGCACGCACCGCCCCCATGCGACGTCACAGCCAGTACAGCGCCCGCCACAGTGGGGAGTTTCGGGGCGCACAATGCACCTCCTCCCCTCGCTAGTATCCGCCCCGGAGCCGCGGCAAAGGTGTAAAAGAGCCACATGCGGCTCCGGAGCCGCGGGTTGCAGACCCCTGTTCTAGCTGAAATGAAGACATCCCAGGCAAATGTTGTAATAATATCTGCACATCACAGATTCCTAGCTCTTTTTCTTATATGTGCCACAAGCTCTCTCACATTAAAGTGAAAATGTAAGTAGCCTATAAGAATGCTATGGAATTTTCTGATCCCTTATGAAAATCAATAGCCATGAGATGCTACCGTTTCTTTCTGGAGTCAGAGGATCCCAACAAGACAGGCTGAGAAAAGTTTTAACATTGTGAAAGAATGGGAGGCAGGGCTTGGTGAGGTTGACAGTGGTTGCATACAGCTTGAGCTCCCGCTTTAAACCGATTAATAGATCTTCCTGTTGGTATAAAACAGTGTGAATGTTTTTTACATTTAAAAGAGGTGTTCCATGTAGAGAGGTGTTTGGGAGCCCTCTTTAGTGCCCCTAGTAAAGCTATTGGGCTCAGAATCAACATTATTTATTCAAATAAGAAAACATGACTTATTTATTTGGGCTCTGCATAATAAAGTGACGCACCTCGTTATCTTTTGCTTGGCTTGGCCTTTTGGTGTTATGATTACTATCCTTTGTTCTCCATTTGACAAAGTGGAGTCTGGGACATGCAAGTTTATGCCACAATATACAAGTTAGCTTTGACTCAAGGTCCTTGAGGAGACCACAGCCTCCTTTTGCCGCTATACACCTGAAGTTCGTCACCAAGGCCATGCGTAGAGAGGCATAGGATTACATTGTAAGAGTTTTAATTTTGCCCGAGTGGGCATCAAGAAAACCTAAGAATACCAAATGCCTTCTACTTAGTCTGATAAAGATGCAAATCTCAGTACCTCTGAAAATATGAAAAAATGTCCTCAAACAATAACACCTTGGAGGTCCCAGGCCTCAAGGAGGTTAGACTGGCCTCGACCAGAGCCAGGGCCTTTTCAGCTCTGGCCCCGGCCTGGTGGAACGCTCTGCCGCAAGAGACCAGGGCCCTGCGGGATTTGACATCTTTCCGCAAAGCCTGCAAGACGGAGCTGTTCCGCCAGGCCTTTGGCTGGGGTCCAGTCTGACTCCTTCTTCTCCTTCTTTTTATAAGACCCTGTAGGTAAGTAGTCTCCCTAGCCCTTTCCACTGGCTCATATAAGACGAGCACAAACATTTGGGCCTGGCGAGCACTCAATACTCCCAACCCCTATAGTTATAATCCGTGGGTTGACATCTGATTTTATTCTGCTCCTTGATTTTTAGCTGTATTTTAATCGATTGTTTGATTTATGTTTTTAATGTATCATATAATTTGATGTTAGCCGCCCTGAGCCGGTCCTGGCCAGGGAGGACAGGGTATAAATATATTATTATTATTATTATTATTATTATTAAATTTCCTTGTCATAATAGGATACAACAGGAGGTATTAGAAAACAGAAGAAAATATCTATCAGAAAAGCAGAACATTCAGTCCCAGGTAAGCTATGCTTATACCATGCCTATCAAGCTTTTTCTGTTACACTCAGTTGTGTCACTGTTGGCTCCATGCTAGTTACAGCATAATATTTTGCATCCCCCAAATGGCTCTTGCTACAATTCCTGTGAGATCTTGTACAATAAAAGTTTGTGCCCTAGTGATTTACATTTATTGCATAGTTTTGGTTAATAGTTGCCTTTCCCAATATAGTGTTAGTGGTGGCATATAAACCCATAATCAATCATCAAAATACTATTTTAAAATAAGATTCATAAGCATAAGTAAATCAGCGTATGCTAGTAGAAAGTCTCAAGGTTCATTTGATTGTCTGTCAGGGGGGAAAAACAGATTTCCCAGGGTTTTAGAAGTTAAGCAAGTGTCCAAGGACACACTGCATCTGCTACAAAGTGTTCTTATAATCTGTTGACAGTGCCTACACTCTTCTCAGCCAGCAAATACTATGTGTGAAGAACCTTGGTTTTCAAAGGCTGCCTGCAGGCAAAGGAATTTCAGTAACCCAGATGTAGACACAGCTTCTGGTCTATATTTCCAGCAGTTGAATAGGTAGGGACAGGCTTTATATTGCAAATAAAATATAATGCAGAGTGGATTTTTATCCACTTAAAAATATAATGGCTTCTGGAATGCATAATTATATTACTTTTTGTTTTTTTGCATCTTGAATATAAAACTTGTGCTAAGATATTACTGTACTGGGTTTCCCGTGCTTTTTGTTTTTCATATATAGAGAATTCAGTTCTTTGTTGTTTTGAGAATTCAGATTCTAGAGTTGTTTTCACAACATATATTGTGGTATTGCTGGGGCTTTGTGCAGACATTGGAGACTAGACACGGTGAGCATATCAGAATCACGTTTCCCCTCACACACAACTCCAGTCGTAGCATCACATGATGGATTGTCATATTTACAGAGGGGCCTACGCTCATAGAGCCCATTGCAGCCGCCCAATCTATACATTCTAATTTTGTCATGTACAGATTGCATGGCTGGGGCCTTGACATTTTTGACTACAAACTTAAGCCCATATGCAAAAGGATGATCCAATATAAGATCATTACAACGTGGGTGGGTAGGCACATCAGATAAGCAACCAAACATCACAGTTGTGATCCCTGCACCATGCATATCAAACATCTACAGGACGCTTCGGTTTAATGTAGATTTCTTCTGCCACTTCTTGCATTAATCACTGTGCTTAATTTATGAATTTGCTTATGACGAAAGAGGATCAGAGCGCTCTCATAAATTACATAAACAGAACGGGGAACAAAGCCAAATGGACTATTGAAATGACACAGCGTGACAATTATTAGCTTCTTTTGTCTCATTAAACCACACTTGCACAAATAGGATCGTAGACTGCTGTGGCTCTCAGCAAACACACTGCCTATTTTTAACAATACATTTAAAATGTATTGTTAAGTATGGCATGATAGTATTCTGAGAGCCATTATGGATCCGAACATGCTTTCAGAATTCTATCACAGTATACATGATAGCCCATTAGGTGTTGCATATTGCTAACATCCTTCCCTGTGCTTTTCATGCAAAAGTGCTTTATTCCTCTCCTCCTGCTACTGTCAAGTTTACTGCAGTGGAGCTGCAGTGACATACAGTGGTTGAACTAGTTAGTCACAACTGCTTAAAATAAGATGTTTCATACGATTCTGAAAAAGACTAAAACAAGGTCCCAGTTTCTCTTCATAATCGAGATATAACATGCTTAAAGTATTTGGAATTCTAAAAAATTGGGTAATTTCAAAGAGAGAGAGAGAGAGAGAAAGAAAGAGAGATCATATTGAAGAAAAGAACATGCATGTTTATACTAGTAATATAATATTTCAGCAGATTGTATGTTGCTTAGCTGTTTAACTGCTCACCTTTTCATTTCCCCCACCCCATCCCTACAAAGTCCAGACTATAGTAACCCACTTGGCAAGTCTCCCAAGGTCAGTGATGACACAAATTTCAGAAGCCATCGCAATGAAGAGCCATTGTTTGGGTTTGTGAATAACATATTAGAGGCTACTGCTGGTGAAAGCTCTCGACCCATTGCAGCTTTCTTTGAAGAGGAGAAACAGCAGTTTCCAACTGCTCCTTCTTCCGATTCCAGCCATTCTTTCGGTAACAAAAGCATCATCGACCAGCTGTTTACCGATTCAGCTAATGCAAATGAAATATCCAGAATGCCTAGTCCTTATGATATGGAAGAAATGCACCAGATGTCAAGTTGTGCTCACAGGTGCCCTGCTGAAAGAGACCTCAGAGGCATTTTCACAGCTCCAGAGCAGATTCTCTTCCCAAACAGCCAGAGCTTAAATGCATGCACCCAGGAGTCCATTAATCAGCCAAGAGATTACTGTATTCAAGAACAAAAGCCTGTAATGTTTTCTGAACAGCAAGAGAATGCTAAAAACTTTGGAAATACAGGTAAATGTAAAAGTAAAGTAATTACAATGTAGAGGTCTTCGCATATTTAAGGAGCCCAATAATACAATTAGCAAAATGTCCTTTTGTTAATATAAGTGCTTCATAAAGTAAAGGTAAAGGGACCCCTGACCATTAGGTCCAGTCGTGACCGACTCTGGGGTTGCAGCGCTCATCTCGCTTTATTGGCCGAGGGAGCCAGCGTACAGCTTCCGGGTCATGTGGCCAGCATGACTAAGCTGCCTCTGGTGAACCAGAGCAGTGCACGGAAACGCCGTTTACCTTCCCGCCAGAGCAGTACGTATTTATCTACTTGCACTTTGACATGCTTTCGAACTGCTAGGTTAGCAGGAGCTGGGACCGAGCAATGGGAGCTCACCCCGTCGCAGGGATTCGAACCGCCGACCTTCTGATCGGCAAGTCCTAGGCTCTGTGGTTTAACCCACAGCGCCACCAGCATCCCTTAAGTGCTTCATATGAGGACCTATATATCAAAGGGACCTCTTGAGGTCCTATATATTGAAGGGGATACACACAGATGCACTGCACTCACCATAGGGTGCTATTGGTTGAGACAATGTCTCTTACACACTGCTTTCTTTTTCTCCATGTAAGGGAATGGCAGCCATTCACTTGTCTGGGAGAAATTAGAGGGAAGGGTTGGGTGCATCTTACTAGGCCCAGAATCCCAACTGAGGAACAATATTTGCTTTCTCTCTAATGTATTTGCACTGCATCCCACTTAACTTTATCCCATATTACTGCATGGATTCCATCAAGAAAGAGGACAGAGCCAACCTCTATGCAAAGCCCCACTTGTGCACTTGCACTTCCTTGTACAGAATACTTCTTGGCTTTTAAGCTTATTACCAATACCCTTGTCTTTTAAAATAAGTTACCAATATCATCATTATATGTGCAGTGCATTGGCTTCCTGCCAAATTTGGAAGTGGATTAACAGCATACATAACTGTTCTTGTCATGGAGCTATGGGGAGATGCAGCAACAATTATCACTGCTGGTTATCTGGTTGCATTTGGAATTAGATTACAGAGAGACATATTGATCCAGAATTCTATGTGTGTATATGAAGCTTCTATACAAGTGGGGATTCCCATTCATTTCCATGGAGGAAGTCAGTGGGCGAATGGATTCCCATTAAAATTAATGGAGAAATTGTTGCAGGGAAAATGTTCATTAAGATCCTCCACACCTAAAACACATCACATCACATATGTGGGGTACATACTTGCTTCTTGCTTTTTTTGTTTTGTTTTTTAAATAGCTTTAATAAATGGTTATTAAGTACGCCCCACGGAGAGCCTCAAGGTTCATAAATAGCAACACCCTAGAGGTCCCGGGCCCTAAGGAAGTTAGATTAGCTTCAACCAGAGCCAGGGCCTTTTCAACTTTGGCTCCGGCCTGGTGGAACGCTCTGCCTCATGAGACCAGGGCCCTGCAGGATCTGATTTCTTTCCGCAGGGCCTGTAAGACAGAGTTGTTCCGCCTGGCCTTTGGCTTGGAGCCAATTTGATTCCCTCCCTCTTTTTCTTTTTTCTTTTCCTTCTCCTCCTGCAATGAGGCTACATTTTAATATTTTAATGTTTCAATATTTTAATGTTGTATTTTAATTTTGTTTTTAAGTTGTAATCATTCTTCTTGTTTTATTTTTGATTGTAACCCGCTCTGAGCCTGGCCTTGGCTGGGGAGGGCGGGGTATAAATAAAAATTATTATTATTATTATTATTATTATTATTATTATTATTATTATTATTGACGTATCTGAAGTTATATTTTATAACTTTTTTATTTTCAGTGGGATTTGAAAGCCAAAAGAGAAATATCAAGGTAGCAGACAGCATGCAAAATCGCTTAGAGAAAAGGTACCGTAAGTCTTTGAAGCTGTCAGGGAACTGCCATTGTCTCAGGGGGGAGAGGGGAAAAGCCGGATGGATTACAGAGAGCCCCCAAAGATTGTGGGGAGCAGCTCCTCCTCAGCGGAGGAGAGTAACCACGCCTCCAGTGGAGAGGAGCTTCAGGGCTCGGAGGAGGCGAGGCGGTGCCAGGACACCTTGCCTGGGCAAAGCGGGGAGGAGAGGGGTCCTCCGTTATCCACGCCCTCCTTGCGCAGTAAGCTTTCGCGCTGAGAGGGGAGGTGCAGACTGGGTGTCAAGAAATTACTTTCCTGGGGAAGGTTTAAGGACCGCCCACTCACGGGTTCTGCCAGTGAATGAGCCAGCCACAGGAGAGTGGCACTCCGGACAGATAAAGTTTATTTTGGCATCAAAAGCAAGGCTTCACAGCCGAGCAGGGAGGCATTTGCCTGCTTGCTCTCTAGCAACCCCTTGGAACCCTAACAGAAACATTTGTGCTTCATTTAACCCAGGGTTCGGCACGGTTTACCTCTCCTGGGCCAGTTCACTCCCACGGAGATTACTCTGTGGGCTGGATCGAGTCTGCGCAGACACGATTTCTGGCACCGCGGAAGTGAGTCCCCGCTCTGTGCCGGTTTAGCGCAACGCGCGGGGACTCACTGAGCGGGCGGCTCGGTTCGGCCATTTAAACGACCCCTATGGGCCGCTTGTGGCCCATGGGCTGCAGGTTGTCGGCCCCCAATTTAATCTTTAAAGTAGTGATATGGTGCCTAGTGCATATATGCAAGTATTTCTGTTGTGACAATCTCTATAGCACTCTAGCTCTCCAGTTTCAGTGTCCAATTCAATGTGTGCATTTTTAAAAGCCATTTGATAAAGCCACCGTGGCCAGAAAATAGTTTTATGATCCACATCTGTCAGCTTGCACACCACAGGTTAGCGGTAACCAACATGGTCCCCTCCATATCTGGTGGACTACAAGCACCATAATCATTGACTCTTGGCCATGCTGCCTGGGACCGATGGAAGCTGAAGTCGAACAATGTCTGGAGGGCAACATGTTGGTTACCCCTGCCAAAGTCTGAGGTAAAGGGTATAATCCATGATAGCAGTTAATTAGTGATAGCTGCTGTTCAGCAAAGTATCATAGATGTTTACGTACTTACTGCAGTTTCTCAAAGTAAGTCACTGTGCAGTTGCCCTGAGGCCTAAGAGTTTTTAATTGATCTGCATCCTCCCATTGGAATGACAAAAGGACATACCAGCACATCACACAGAAGGTTAGGCTGGTGTTTGTGTTACATCAGAAGATCCCATGCTATCACTCCATTTCAGGTTGCAAGATACCTCACACTCCTTCCCCAACTTTGTTTCCTAACAAAAATGGTTGTGTTGGGAAATACAGCGATACCTGTTGAATGTTTAGCAGTTATTATTGAGCAAGGAAACCTACTGCCTATTGCATGCAGTTATTTTTGAACAAAGATCAAGGCTGAGTGTCAGGGAACTGACAAGCTATGCTGGAGAAGGGCCCAGCAGGGAGAGAGGCAGCTCATCAGCTGGGGAAGGAAATGAGTGTAACACCAGCGATAAAGAGGGGCAGATGGGAGAATCGGCGAGGGGGCTCCAGGACTCCTCGCCGGAGACCAGTGAGGAGAGCACGGGTCCTCCGCTACCCACAGAGAGAGTAGGAGGAGACTTGGAGTCAAACAGCTTTTATGCTGGAAAAGGTTTAAGAAACGCCCACTGATGGATTCTGCTAGCGACTGAAACAGCCACGAAGTGAAGGGCTGTCCAGACAGAAAAGGCTTAACCAGGCACACTAGCCAGGAGTGGCGGCAACTTACGCACGAGCAACCCCTATAATCATTACACTGAGCATATGCCTTATTTTAGAATTACAGTCTTTGGCCCCATTAGGCTAATGTTTTAAATGATAATGCATCTTATTCCTCTTCTACTGTTACAGCGTGGCATAGAACAGGGGCTTTCAGATCAGGAGCTCAGTGTTAGATCTCCACTATTCAAAAGGGTATAAACTATTCAGTTAACACTATAGTTTAATTATAGCTACCATAACATACCAAAACACCACTGGCAATGTTAGTTTTAGTTTGGTGATCAGGGACTGAAACTGCGATGAAAGTGACTCCCCTCTCCCGATATTTTGCAGCAGGAAGGCTGGATGGGCAGAACATAATCTGAGTAACTTGCAGATATTTGGACTTGAACAGGTAAAAGCTCTGTATGATTTGCATTGTGCGTAAAGGGAAGCAGCTCGAGTAGAATATGGCATGTTTTCAGTGCTACTTATGATCTGAACATAGAATTATTTTATGCCGTGTGCCCTCTGGTGCTGAAACCTGGCATCTTGAGCACTTTTTTCATTATATGAGGAAAGGAAGTCTCTTCCAATGAGCTTAGGTTGGGCTCTTGACTATTCCTTAATTGTCTGAATATTGGTTGGTGGGGTACACCAAATTGCAAGCAAAATTCTTCAGGGGTATGTTTTGAAGAGTAAATTTTCAAAAATGCTCCAGGTTAGCAGTGCTACTTAGAGGAGCACGACTCACATTTGTTTCAAACACTGCATTTCATGCCACTGTGCTGAGAGTTTGTGCAAAGAGACACATCATGATGCGAACTAAACTGGGAATCAGAATCGATTGTGGGTAGAGCTGAGGAGAATGCAATAAAGGAAGGAGGGACAAAGTGATGGAATATTACAGCTGAGAATGTAGATGGCAATACAGTGGTACCTCGGGTTAAGTACTTAATTTGTTCCGAAGGTCCATTCTTAACCTGAAACTGTACTTAACCTGAAGCACCACTTTAGCTAATGGGGCCTCCTGCTGCCGCCGTGCCACCGGAGCACGATTTCTGTTCTCATCCTGAAGCAAAGTTCTTAACCCGAGGTACTATTTCTGGGTTAGCAGAGTCTGTAACCTGAAGCGTATGTAACCTGAAGCGTATGTAACCCGAGGTACCACTGTATAGGTAGCAGGCAAGCAGGCAGATACTATGGAACTCCAGGACAGGATAGCATCATGCAGGTTGTTCCCCCACCTGACATCCACCATGCCTCTGTGGGCATGGTGAACAGAGTAACTCGCTGTAGGGTTTCCATTTTTGTTGGCCAACCCACATTCGTTGTCACATCTAGATCAGCCTATAGAATCAGCCCTTAAGAACTCAGTGGGAGCAAAAGGCTGAGGAGTGAACAAGAGAGATCAGTATTTCCTATGCTGGGATAGCTCACTCGGTAGAGCATGAGACTCTTAATCTCACAGTCATGGGTTTGGGCTCCACGTTGGGCAAAATATTCTTGCATTGCAGGGGTTGGATATGATGGCCCCCATGGGCACTTCCAACTATATGATTCCATGGCAGCTCGTTGCTCCTTCTTTTCTAGCTCTGCTATAACGTCAAAACAATGATTAAAGTTAGTATAATTTGAAATTAGTATGACAAATGCCGTTATTAGTATGTGTAGCTTTTACTTGGGTTACCTTGGAGTGGATTTTTGATTATTATTTTTCAAGTATAAAATTGACAGCCCTTTCTATAGATGACCTGATATGGCAAGCATCAAGACCTTGACATTTTAGTTGTTTTCTCAAACTCGGTATGACAAAATGTTAGGTTCTGTATAGAGAATGGCATTAGTATGTTGGCAACTGACTTGTTTTTGAGAGTATGATTCAGCTGTTAAGGGGGAGTTAATTATGAAGTGGGAAACTATTACTAACCCAAAGAGGACTGGCTAATTGCCACTCATCACTCCTGTGGAAAGTGGGCAAATTCCCAAGGATTTATATCAGATATGAAGGTTGTGATGAGGAGAAACAGTATTTGATTTTCCTGAAGTGTTTTATAAATTAATTTGTCTGTTTTATTTATTCATTAAATCTATATCGCACCCTTCCTCCCAAAGGGGCCCATACTTTCTAGGTCATCTTTCAGGGTTACCCCTTCTAAGCCAGCTTCCAACATATTGAAACAAAGTGCATTACAAGAACAAAAGCATAGTGTAAAACACCACATGGCTCATCTCAAATGTGTGTGACAGGAGCCTATGTGCTGCACATGATACACTCGAGTGTTACCCTTCCTTATCAGTTCAGCGCTTATTTCTCTTGTGTGTGTGTGATTGTGATAATGGAAAAGCTGAAATATTAGAGACTGTTCTCATTCTTCAGTGGTCCAGTTGCCTGCCATTCCCCCAAACTGCTCTCAGCAAATCTGAGGGCCACACCCCTAGAGTACATATGGAGAAAAGAGCTGGATCACTGTAGCAGCAGAACTTGGGAAGATCAAATCAACTTGGTTCAGGCAGTGGAGCTGCACAGATGAAGGGCGAGATGATTCTCGTAATCATACTCTCCATTTTTAATAGCATCAGATGTTGAATAAACCCATTTGTCTCATCTGGTGGTGAAAAGATAACTTACCTGGTTCAGACCAGGACAGAGGAACGGCCTAGAATGATGGAGATGCAGGAGAAAATTCACCAGACTTGCCAATGGCAGCACTCAGGAGGATGGGGGAACAAACTCCTGCAAAGAAGAGCCTCACTTTCCCCATTTCATTTTAGCAAGCTGTGTTTGTGCATGAATGAGAAGCTACAGCGCTTTTGTCTCAGGGTGCAATCTGGGGGATGCCTATAGTCCTCTACAAACAGTAGTTGTAGCAATAACAATGAAGCACAACTCCCCATCTGCAGCTTCAGGTGAGGGAAGGTCCTTAGGTCAACTTGGCTTGATAGGTGTCGCCTTTTACTCGTCCTTCCCACCAGACTTAGCAATAGCAGAAATTGTGAAGCCTATGGAGAAAATGTAGCAGGCCTGGTTCCTTATACTGAATGACCTCTTCTATGCAGAGTCAGTGTTGTGCAGCAGTCCCATGAGTGAATATCTACACATTGTCAAGTCATTTAGCAAAGGTCCAGTGGTCCAGTTGCTATGAAGACAGATAATGACCTAGTAATCTTTATTTATGTAAAAGGCAAGTTATGTCCATTTTCCTGGGTTAACTTCGAAGCTTATGGTTTGAGCTCATGGTAGAAGTAGGAGAATGTGAGCTGCTTAGTGCAATATTATTGGAATGACTGGTCAACAATTTATGGGATTTGCCTGAAACAGAATTGAGGAACCCAAAGTAAAATGTACAGTAAATGAAGTTAGGCTAACATCATCTTTAATTTTCTTTAAAAAACCAACAACCTGAGAAAGGAAGCCTGCAGTTACTATGATCAGCATTCAAAGCATGGAAAACAAAAAGGTTAGTACTAATTTCAGATTCCTTAGTTTTCTTAATGGTCAAGAAGAACAGAACACATGTTCTTTAAGTCTGAGTTTCTCACCTAATGAGTTGTTATGTAGCTTTAACTCTTCTTAAGTAGGTAAAGCACTGGGTGGAAAAAGCCTATGAGGGTGAGGAGGGAGAATCTATGGTGGAAGATATCCCCCAGTCCAAAGCCATATGGGGCTCTTGACAACAGAGCAAAATGGGTGGTCTTTAATTCCCCCCCCCCACTGTCCCTTGCCACTTAGTCATTTTCATCTTTTAAAAAATGTTTCCCTCCCATTGGTTCTAAAAGATGGGGAAATTAGACAACATTCTTTTCGAAAAGTTTGTTAGTGCTTAGAATTTTGAGATATATATTGTTTCAGATGAAGAATCTCAGCTAAGCAACCAGTCACCTAGTTATTCTCCAAACCGAACAGAGAGCTATGCCACTACTACATCTGCTGAGGTAAAGTGAGGCAAATATTGCCATAACGTGAGTTTACACAAGCTTATCCAAGTGTCTGGGAATAAGCGGGGGTGCCAATGGTTTTTTGTTTTGTTTTAGCCCAGTAGAGTGTATATATTTATGAGCAGGGTTGAATGCAGCAGGGTCACATAAACATCAAAAACCATTCCTATATGACATTAACTAGAACGGTGATTCACTGGACCCAGATGTGCACGATTAAACTGATAATTCTGTTTCAGCAGTCTGAAGAGGAAGAGCAGGATGGAAGAGCATTGTCTTACTTTGAGAACTCTTTTGCAAGAAATGATGGCAATCCACTTCCAGTTTCAGGAAATCAAAAGCTGCAGTGCAGTTGCCAGTCAATGGCCATGTATTCCATTTTCCTCGACAAGAAAACAACTGACATTCACCCCCAGGCAAAACCAGCCAGGCCTCTGAAGAAAGATATGTTGCGCAGAGCTCAAACGCACAGATCATGTGAAAAGAAGCATGCTAATTTCAAGGGGCAGCTCAACGCTTGGTCGCAAACAGAGACACGTGCTGAAGAAATAGAAAAATCTGACGCAGCCGTGCAATGCAATATAATGCAGGCTTGCAGCTGTAATAACGTGCCATCCTCTGTCCATAGTGCTGAAATCACCACTTCCGCCAGTAAGGTAGAGACCACTGGAGGGCAGAACATTCCTGCAGATGAATGCTGAAGCGCTGCTCTGAGAAGCATCCATTCGTTGAGAGTTAAGAGTTTGTCTCTTGAAACAGTACATGGCAAAATGAACTTAGGCATTCTGGATTACAGTAATAAAGGGGAGGCGTGTGATTAAATAAAGAAGTCATATCAAATCAATCTATATGCTTATTAGCTGTTTCATAAATATGGGAGTTTTGACCGATTTATTCTTTTTAAAGAACATGGAAACACATATTTGTCCTGCTCAGACACAGTTAAATCCCTTGGCCATGATCAAACATAGGCTTAAATGTACACTACAGTGATTGTAACAGGCTTAAGCATGGTTAATTTAGTGTTAATTGGAGCCAGTTTAAATAAGGTGTGTTGCGTTGGGTGGCGACCTCTTTTGCACAGCTGTTTGCTCCTCCCCCCCAAAAAAATTCAGTATATCCTTCTGTAGTATACACAACTGATAAGAACATATGGTAAAAGAAATGTCTCTATTTTAATTCTGCCTTTTTCTTCCCGAAGGCAATGGACCAATTCAGAGGTAACAAGTTGCTTGGACAAACCATGGTTTGTTGGTAGATGAACAAGCTTGAACAAGCCCTCCTCTACCCCATCCCTCAACCTCCTCCATGTGTGCTCAGCTGCAGAAGAAACTTACAGGTTCCTTAAACCATATTTGCCTGTGATCTCCAAACTGGAGAACTGTGGTTTAAGCACTGACTACAACCAGAATTAGTTTGCAGTGCTGGTTGGGGGACAGCACTTAAAACACAGTTTCTGGGTATATATTCAAAAACTGTGTTTTATAAAACTGTGTTTCCTCTGCAGCTGACTGTGCAAAAGGAAGAGGAATGGAAAGGGACAGGATAGGGCAAGCTTGTTGCTTCTTCATGTGCCAAGAAAGTGATGGCTTGGAAAAGGCCCCTTACATCTGAATAGGATCGTGGAAAAGGGAGTCTTTATATAGAACAAATTGTTTCCACCTCTGTTGTCAACACACACAATACTCTTTTCATTATCTGCATTAGAAATTGCTGAACAGCAACATGGGAATTCATTGTGCAATTAGAACTGTTAACCAAAGTTACTTCATTGTAATCTGCTATTGCATAAACATTACGAATGGTAGTATATAAAATAAAAAAACATATTCCAAAACATCATTTCTCAGCTGTTTAACTTAATTTAACCACTATTGGCTTTTACTTTGTTTGGATGATTTTCTTGAGCCTGAAAGGTTGATATTTACTCTTATTTTATTCAGTAGCTATGTGATCTGCAATCTGAAATAAAATTGTTTTCTTTTACTCTCTGTTCTTTGAAACGTAACTCTGCTAAGACACCCAAATCCTCTATTGGCTGCTGACTGTATTCCCTGCTTCAGAACGGCCACATCAGTGTCAGTCATCCCTGACAAGCTGTGGCTGAACAGAACCTCCACTTTTATTTTAAACTCTGGCCTTCTGATTATTTCCCACGATCCCATTTTGTTAGGAAATGTTTTGGGTCAGAAGAGAGACATTAACTGTTGTTCTTCAAGTACTGCAAGAAAGGAAGGGATTATCTGAAGGTTAATATGCTGTGCCTTTTTTCCTTCTCCGTGAGCATTGTTGAAAGATTTGCTGACCCTGCTTCAGCTGGGTCCTTCTGGTAGCACGTTTCTCAATCAGGAGACGTTGTCATGTAAAAGGTGTGTGTGTGTGTGTGTGTGTGTGTGTGTGTGTGTGTGTGTGTGTTTCTCTGGCATTCAAACTGTGTTTTAAAACACCAGAAGCAGATCCACACATAAAACAACAATAGTTTTCTTTGACAGGCAACACACAAACCAGTAGACGTTGGCCAAGTAGGTGTTTCTACTGCAGGACACTCCAGGGTGCAATAATTCCTACATAACTGAAAACTGAAAGAGCTTCTTTTAGAATCTATAGCAACCTGCTGGCAGAGGAAGAATCCAGAAGAAAGACACAAGACTATTTTCTTTACTTGGTCCTTTCCATCTTCTGCAGGCAAGCTTTAAGTGTCCATTCTGGGCTTACCAGTCTCATCAGTCTTAGTAACTAAACTGCCTTGCACTCAACATTTTTGGGAAAGGCAATATATACAAACAGATTAGCAGAACTAGCACACGTTGTTGTTGTTGTTTAGTCGTGTCCGACTCTTCGTGACCCCATGGACCAGAGCACGCCAGGCACTCCTGTCTTCCACTGCCTCCCGCAGTTTGGTCAAACTCATGCAGGTATCTTCGAGAACACTGTCCAACCATCTCATCTTCTGTCGTCCCCTTCTCCTTGTGCCCTCCATCTTTCCCAACATCAGGGTCTTTCCCAGGGAGTCTTTTCTTCTCATGAGGTGGCCAAAGTATTGGAGCCTCAGCTTCAGGATCTGTCCTTCCAGTGAGCACTCAGGGCTGATTTCCTTCAGAATGGATAGGTTTGATCTTCTTGCAGTCCATGGGACTCTCAAGAGTCTCCTCCAGCACCATAATTCAAAAGCATCAATTCTTTGGCGATCAGCCTTCTTTATGGTCCAGCTCTCACTTCCATACATCACTACTGGGAAAACCATAGCTTTAACTATACGAACCTTTGTTGGCAAGGTGATGTCTCTGCTTTTTCAGATGCTGTCTAGCACACATACAGCACCAATATTTCAACCAGTTCAAATGTCCTTTATGTAATAAAAATCAATTCAATAAACACATTTCAGCAATGCAAGCAAAAAGAAGAGTATCAATTATGCATCAGAAGAGTGTATATATTATATATAAACTGGGATGTATGTGATAACTCTAATTACTGAAGTTAAGAATACTGTTTCCAAAAGTTGTGAGCCGAAAGTCTTTCTACTAATAAACGTGCAACATTTTTGTTCTTGCCCACTTGCTGAGCTTACATGGACAAAGCCATCTCTTCAAATACAAAACTAAGGAGTGGTTTGCACTGCCTCTCTCGTCTGAGCAACCAGCAGCCTTATAATCAAGGGATTCAAGTTCCTTGTTGGAATACTTGTTTGGCTGGAGTGCCGCAAGGAAAAGGTGGGGTTTTCCGGTCCAAATGCATAGTATGGGGGCAAAGATATTCTAAGCTAGCATTTCTCAAAGTCACTGTGCCTTTGGGTGGTGAATGATAAGTAAGATAATAATAATAATAATAATAATAATAATAATAATAATAATAATAATGATAATGTATACCCCTATCTGGCTGAGTATCTGTCAGGTAGTTTTTTATCTCTTTGACATCTGATGGGAGGGCGTTCCACAGGGCGGGCGCCACTACCGAGAAGGCCCTCTGCCTGGTTCCCTGTAACTTGGCTTCTTGCAGTGAGGGAACCGCCAGAAGGCCCTTGGCGCTGGATCTCAGTGTCCGGGCTGAACGATGGGGGTGGAGACGCACCTTCAGGTATACAGGACCGAGGCCGTTTAGGGATTTAAAGGTCAGCACCAACACTTTGAATTGTGCTCGGAAACATACTGGGAGCCAATGCAGAGCTCTCAGAACCGGTGTAATGTGGTCCTGGCGGCCACTCCCCGTCAGCCCTCTAGCTGCCGCATTCTGGGTTAATTGCAGTATCCGGGTCACCTTCAAAGGTAGCCCCACGTAGAGTGCATTGAGGTAGTCCAAGTGAGAGATAACCAGAGCATGCACCACTCTGGCGAGACAGTCTGCGGGCAGGTAGGGTCTCAGCCTGCGTACCAGGTGGAGTTGGTAAACAGCTGCCCTGGACACAGAATTAACCTGCACCTCCATGGACAGCTGTGAGTCCAAAATGACTCCCAGGCTGCGCACCTGGTCCTTCAGGGGCACAGTTACCCCATTCAGGACCAGGGAATCCCCCACACCCACCCGCTCCCTGTCCCCCAAGAACCAGAAAATGAAATGTTTCCCATCCTGTAAGTGCAACATGAGATGCTGTACCTGTGTATTCTCTACCTGCCATACAAATGTTACAGAATACAAGGTATTCTATGGTAGCACTAGCTGAAGCTGCATAAAACAGATGCAGGAAGCGGAAAGCCTTTTTAGATCTATTGGTTGTGTATGTTTGTGCAGTCTTTGAATTCACCTCGGGGCACTGCGACATGGATTCACTGCTGTTGCTCATCCATTCTCTTCTCAGCCTCGACATAAATCAAAACACATTTTCATCAGGGCACAGTCCCCACATAGCTAAGTCATTTCAAGAGTGCTTTGGCAGTTCATCATGGAAAATATTTAGGAATGCACCCCCTTCAAGAGACAGCTGGTTTTCAGTGCATCACTGCAAAACAGTTAACAGGTTCCCCCACAGGCTCTCAGTCCCAAAAGAACATTTCCATTGAACGTCTCACTTGGTTGAAGGAGGGCACATAGAACATGCCCTTATATATCACACTACCTATACTTTATAATGTATAATGTGCATCAATCGCTACCTACTTTGATCTTTTCACTCTGTTGGAGTGCATGCTAAAAGAACTTGAAAACTTAACGTGTAAATCATTCAAAATCCAATTTCAGAAGGCCCCATGGACTGAAGGTTAGTAAACATTATACACTGTATTTGTATCACCCTTGGGGGATTTAGAGGCTGGAAGATAAGTTCAGCCCAGAGTAACTTTCACGTGAGAAACCTTTCAAGCATAGTTCTAATTAGCGCAGCTGATTTCTGATAGGAGATCATGTATCTTCATTGACCATATTTTATCTCATATATATATATATATATATATATATATATATATATGCATGCTCCTACTTAATCAGCGCTAAGCTATCAAGCTGGTTATATATGGGCAAGGCTAAGGCTCAAGGAAATCCTAATCACATGATCTCATTTGCATTTTGGCTGTACTATTGTAGTCATGGTTACCAGGAGCCAGAGCAAGTTTCTTAATGTGGAGGAGCATACCTGCCAAGCTGGCTTTCTGGTCATAGAAATGAATTTATCAACTAGGCACCATGAATTTATCAACTAGGCACCATGAAATTCCATATGCAGGGTAACAGCTGTTTGGCCCAGCATAAGGATACTTCACAAGAA